TAGAGCCCTGAGAACTACCTGATGGACCTCAGAGGCTAAGATGGACCTAACGCTCTCATGAGCCCTCTCTTCTCAGATACAACCAAAGCCAGCTGGGTGGGGTGAGTGGCGCCATATCACTCAATGTGTGCCATCTCCCCTTGATTCTTGACCCCCAAAGCTGCGAAGGGCAAACTGCAATTTATTCAAAACTGCCCTCGGATTCTGTGGAGACTCTGTGGCTGGACCCAGAATGAAGTGTTTCTGGGAGTGGGGGTGGGGGTGGGGGTGGGGGTGTGTTAGAGCTTCCTGTCAAGGACAGTTAATTTTAATTTTTCCACTGAGCTCAACCTCAAAGTGAGGCTGATTGCTACTCAGCAGGATGGGCTGTGTTGGTGGAGGCTCTAATTGAGTGCAGATCTGTGCCCCTAACGCGTAACCTCTGTTGTATACATATTTTGGGACAGGAGGGAAAAAATGAAAAACAGGCCTTTTGAAGGAAAATGATGAAAGTGGAATGTGTTCTATATCCAGGATGCCAGCACCAAGGGCCAGCGCCGGGGAGCTCCATGGGACCCCAACCCCCCCCCCCACCCCCCCAACCCCCCACCCACCCACCCCCCGCTCATGTTTGAGACAGGATCTCGCTGTGCAGACCTAGCTGATCTGGAACTCACTATTGAGACCAGGCCGGCCTCAAAATCACAAAGATCCACCTGCTTCTGCTGTGTGCCGCCAAACTGGGTCCCCACTCTTCTGCTTGCTTCAGGCAGGGCCTCACTCTCATCTAGGCTGGCCTGGCACTTGTAACAACCCCCCTGTCTCAGTCTCCCGAGTGCTGGGATGGAAGACGTGAGCTAGCACACGGGCGGCACACACAGACAGCGGCTCCAATAGGCTCCCTGAAAACCCTCTCCACAGGCCCAGTTCCTGTGCTCAAACCTTTCCCAAACACTGACTGCCGAGGGCCCTCTCACGGGGAACAAGGGCACTAAGGAGGGAGGGAGGCACATTGGCAGAGGACTTGGCATGTTTCCGATGTGAGGCTCCTCCTGGCCTAGGCTGTCGGTCCTTACTTGTGTCCAATATGGTTAAGTCCGCCACACCATTTTGTCAGTGGTTTTACTATGTGTGATGGCCAATCTCGGCTGTGAACTTGACACACCGGGGAAGAAGGGCTCTCAACTGAGGCATTAGTCTGGCTTCTGGGAATGTCTGAGGCGGTATTTTCCTAATTGCCAACTGATGGGGAGAGTGGGGGTGGGGTGGGAATACAACCCACCGTGGGTGGTACCAGCCCTAGGCAGATGGGCTATATAAGAAAGGTAGCTGATTGTGAGCCTGGGGCTCCCCCATGGTCTCTGCCTTAGTTCTTGCCTCAGATTCCTGACTTAAGTTCTTGCTTCCCTCGATGATGGATGGTAACCTGTAAACTCAAATCAACCCTTTCCTCCCTGCCGGGCTGCTTTTGATAAAGGTATCTATCACAGCAAGAGAACAACTTAGAACAGCCTGGGTCTTCACAGGAAGCACACCGCTCCTCTGGTCTCTAGTGTAAAGGTCTGAAACCTCGTTACCCTTCCCTGAGCAAGAGCCGGTCTTTGTGCCAGTGAAGGACATGTCTTCTTTTTTTTTTTCTGGAGCTGAGGACCGAACCCAGGGCCTAGCGCTTGCTAGGCAAGCGCTCTACCACTGAGCTAAATCCCCAACCCCAGGACATGTCTTCTTAAAGCCAAACTACCACTCTCTTCAAACATTGACTAAAGCCCCAAATACTAAAGCCTATATTCCCTCCAAATCTTCCTCCCCTCCTCTCCCCTCCCCCATCACACACTCTGGTCCCCCCCCCTCCCCCATCATACACTCTGGTCCCCCCCCTCTCCTCCCCCATCATACACTCTGGTCCCCCCTCCCCTCCCCCATCATACACTCTGGTCCCCCCCTCCTCTCCTCTCCCACATCATACACTCTGGTCCCCCCCTCCC